CTTTTTCTGCTGTTCGAAAAAAGATCGGTGATAATCTGCTAGATCGTTATTTTGACCTCTTTGCAATAAAATTTTCACATATAACTGTCCCACCCTGTCCTGTCGGTTCTAGCCGACATTCCCAAAGTAAATTCCTGTAATAAAAATCTCCTGCCTAAAATTTTTCAATATAGATTCACATTTTGACAGAGTATAAAAAATACTATTACCCCAATTATCGAAGGTATTTTTTTCATGGACTCTAACATAATTGGTATCATAGAACCCCTAAATATTCTTATTTATCAGAGTGCTATTTTACAAGGTTTGGTGCCAAAACAGATAATTTATTTTTAAATCAAATGCTCAAATTATTATTCGATTTTTTTATAGTCAAGTGCTCAAGTTATTATTCGTTTTCTTCAATTATTTGTGGCGTAAGTAATCGGTACGGGTATAATAGGTTGCTGGGCGAACATATGTTACTGGTGTCAATGGGCGGACATATTGAACCACAGGAACGGAAGCAGCCTGAACATATGTCTTGGAAACGGTAAGAGGAGCAGGAACTACCGGAACTGCAGCCGGGACAGAATAACGAACAACTGGTACCGATGCTGCGGGATATACAAAAGCAGCATAACAGGATGAGACCAAAACGGCCAAGACGACAACGATGAGTTTCTGAAAAAGACTTCAGTTGATAATATTTAATTTAAAGGATTTTCGTAATAAGAATTTACCATTTTTTAATTCCAATATGTATTACAGCGATTATTCGATCAATTGTAACTGTTAACTTATTTCAAATTGTGCCCCAATTTTATATGTATTCGAATTCATTGAACATTTCTTGTATTATTTAATTATTTTCAATATTTATTTTATTTTAATAGGATAATGATTTTGTTTTTATTTTGCCATAAATTATCCTATTTTGTTCGTTGCCACATAAAAATTTCATCGGATTTGTTAATCTATTTTTAAATAACATTCATTAATGGCTAAATTTTAGCTTGCATCCGTCTTAATTAATGTATCGAATTAAATGACCTACGGTAGCCTGTTTCTGAATTGTTTTTAAGGAATATTTGAAATGATTAACCGCAAATGAACCTAAGAGAATTGAATCGATTGCGGCAGTGAACCGAACTGACAAATAGTGACGTTAGCAAAAAAATAGATATTTCAAATAACTGTCAGAAAGTATTGATATTTTTACGTGTCAAGGTTATATTCCGAAAATTTCTAGAAAACCGGTTAGAAATTTAAAACTGACCGGTTATCAGAGATAAAATATTGTGGAAAACTTATTATTTAAATTTTGTCCAACGGCCTTTCCAAAAACCTCAACATACGATGTTTTTAATTATCTAATTAATAATTGGAGAAAAAAAGAGAAAAAAGTTTCTTAAATTGTTGTAAAAAGACGTTAGTCTTGGGAAATTTTCCAAAATACTACGTTTAACGTTCCTATTGGCAGCTAATTAGTCCGTATGATCCATACCTAAATGTGAAACAAAATATATCCTCCTCGTGATTTTGCTGACCGTTATAGAGACAAATATACAAAAAGCAATACGTAAAAGGTCGGGTCTTTTTTTCTTTCATACCCTCCACCATTTTTAAAAAGATCGGGAAAAAGGGAATAAGTAATTTAGAAAAAACCTTTATATGGGTTATATATCTAAAAATACATCTATGTAATAACAAGTAAAAAAGTGTCAGTCGGTGTTGCCGACAGATATATACCCTCAGTCTGTTGTATGCGAAGGTCTTCGGAATTACACACAGGTTTCATTATTTGCTTTATATGAGGTATATGATTTTATCAGAAAGATTTCGGATTTAATGTTGATCAAAGAGGTTATCCAATTCACTCCCAATTAAATTTACAAGTTTTTAAATGGTGGGCCCTTTGTGGGGGAGATACCACATGGAGTGGATCAGTGGATTCTATCATCAGACTTGATCTAGGCTTGGCAATGATAATAAGATGTTCAAAGTTTGGTTCACATCGGACATTCCATTTTCGGACTATTGGATTTATTAATATTGAAAATTCAGATTTAGGTACCAAAACGAGTGGACCGATGATCATATCTAGGCTGGTTAAATATAACAGATCTAGGATGGTTAAATATAATAGATTGTGCAATGTTTGGTTCACATCGGACATTCCATTTGCCTAATATTGGATTTGTAAATATTGAAAATGTTGACCCTTTGTGGGGGAGATACCAGACAGAGTGGATTAATGGGCCACATCTTCGGATTTGATATAGGCTTGTTAAATATAATAGGGTGTACAAATTTTGGTTAAAATCGCCTAGTCCGCATGATAGTATAAAATTAATTTATTGCACAATGTTGACCATTTTGTTACATAAAGGGTAAACCGATATTCTCCATACTCGAACTTGAACTAAGTTTAGAAGAGGTGTTACGATGTACAAAGTTTGGATTAAACCGGTTAACCCTTCCGAGAGTTATCGTGCGTTCCAGTCGACCAAACAGACGGACGGACATATGTACATCGGCTCCAAATTGTCTGAAACGGAATTGATCCAAAGAAAGATGGGGTCTAAAACCAATATTTCGATGAGGCAAGTTTTTGCCGTATCAAAGTGTGTATGTCATTATTAGCCATAAGGCTAAGGGTATAACAATTTCTGAATAAATGTGTTTTAACTTACAAAAAATGAGAATGCGGGTAAAACTACCAAATTATAGAAAATGGGCCATTTTTATACCCCCTTATAAAGTATATATATTCTTGATCAGGGCAAAACTCTAAGACAACCTAGCCATGTCCGTCCGTCTGTTATAATCACGCTATCTTCTGAAGGAATTGAGATCAGCGTAAAATTCTATGTCGATATAGCCATGTCCGTCTATTCTGTCTGTCTGTTGTAATCACTCTAGCGTCTAAACGAATGGAGATAGATCGCCAAAATTTGGGATAGAGTCGTCTTTTGTCTGCAGGCAGCTCAAGTTCGGTCCACGTTTAGGCATAGCTCCCATATAACAGTACCCCCCAATTTTCGGTGTTTTGGGGTTCTTGAGCGCGTTTTTCAACCGAATACATTTAAATTTGGTAACTTGAATTCTTATTGGGTACTTAATGTCTTCAAAAAATTATTATATATATATATATATATATATATATATATAGATCCACTTTTTCTGGTAGCCCCAATATAAAGGTACCTCCTAATTTTCAGTATTTTGTGGGTTATGATCGTATTTTTCCACCGAATTGTGCGGTAATTTAGTATTTTGAGTTCTTAATAGGTTCCAAATCTCTCCACAAAAAAGATTATAAATATAGGTTAATTTTTTCGGATAGGCCCCATATAAGGGTACCCCCAATTTTCAGTATTTTGGGGTTATTGATCGCGTTTTTTTACGAATTCGCTGCAATTTGGTCTTTTGTAGTCGTATATGGTACCAAATCTTCCTACCAAAAATTTTTAATATTTTTGTGGTCGTCCTTTTTTATATTAAAATAGTTATATGATTTGTTCCGTGTTTGCTAAGAAATAATAAGATGGCCAAGTTCGGATGAAATTAAAAAATTTGGAAACAAATTTGGCCCAAAGAAACATGGGTCTAGGACCAATATTTAAAATCATAATCGGTTTGTATAAATGTCGGTATGTTCCCTACATTTTTATTTCAAGTACCTGTCAGTATGTCTATGGTGGAGGGTATTAAAAGTTCGGTCGAACTTAACGCTTTTTCACTTGTTTATATTTCGGTTTCTACCCAGTAAACACCATCTGACATAATTTCAACAGACAGACATATATTGCTGAATCGGCATAGCGGTCTCCGATATATATTTCGAGGTTTTAAAAAAGGATATATAAATTTAAAATGCGCTCCATCACATAGTTATAATATGAAAAATATAGTCAATTTACAATGAAATTTCCTTCATATGAAAAATTACAAAATTGCGCACCCTATGGCGGAGAGTATTAAAAAGTTATGACTTGTCGAATTTGAGCATATTATACCTTACACAACTATGTTGTCTGGGTATTATGACTTTGTGCAACACCAAGAGTTTGGAACGCCGCAAAGTATTTGCCCTAGACCCTAGACCCTTAAGTATACCGAACGTCATATCTCCACTAGATGAGTCGATCTAAGTACGATAATTTTTGACCCCTAATATATAGGGAATGAAATGGACCAAAAACGTTATTTTTGGCCCGAATATCGTGGAGAAGGAGATCTGGCCAAAGTATAAACAAGACTATTTTGAGAAAGATCGATCAAATGAATCCACACTTTTGTTTGAAAAATTACAAAATTTGAAGGACGTAGACCAAAAAATTTTGATGCTGAATGCAAGAGGCGTTGTTGGCCTATATTAATACCAATTATGTTGTTGCATGTACTTGGATGAGAGAATTATACGTAAATATTTAAAGGTATCTATGTGTTATGATATTGTTTAGTATAGTATTGTTTAGTATTATTATAACCCGACTAGAGGACGGAAATGTCGCGCTGATCGCTTTGAAATTTTATGGTCAAGGACAACGCCTATAATTTACGGTGATGTTGGATATTATTAAGGGGGTACAATGGACTTTATTTGTGTCATTTTGCAGTCGCTCTATAGGGAATTATTATATGCACGATGAACGGGATCTGATCAAATACTTAGAACGGCTGTTTAGATGGTGATCGGTCAATATTCCTATGGTTAAATCAACCTAAAGTGAAAAAATGTATTTTATGGCATAATTATTCACTCGAGAAAAAGGATTTAGAAAATATGCCAAGATTAGAAAATTGATTTCTTAACCTATAATAGTTAAAGAGATTGCAAATATTGCCAGTAGTAGTATAGGATAATAAGGATATTATATGGTCGACCCCGTCCGACTATAAATCTCCGCTCACTGGTCTTTTTCAATAAAAATCATCATTTAATGAACAACTTCAAAAATCTTTACGAAAAAAAGTTTAAACTTTATTTATTTGGTTATTCGAAATTCCATTAATTATTTTTGACGCAAATAATCGGTACGGGTATAATATGTAGCTGGACGTACATATGTAGTGGTTACCGGTGTCAATGGGCGGACATATTGTACGACAGGTACAGTTGCAGCTTGAACATATGTTTTGGTAACAGGTGCAGTAACCACGGAAGGAGCTACTTGAACCGCAGCTGGAACAGAATAACGCACAACTGGCACCGATGCAGCGGAATATAAGAAACGACCATGAGCTGAGGAAACCAAAACGGCAAGAGCGACAATAAGGAGTTTCTGCAGAAAAGATTTAATTAATTTCAATTGTCAACTTTCGTTGAACAGACAATTTTATTGTACAGCTTACCATTTTGCTGTGTTATATTTAAAATATCAAGTCGTTGAAATAACTGATACAATTTTGTAATTTTCAATTGGCTTTTATAGGGAAATTGGGGAACAATGTGGTTTTAAAAAGTAATTGTAAGTGTCAATCTATGCGTTTCATTTGTTTAATTAAACCGACTTAAATCATTTATTTTATCGATACCAATCAAATGTTGCTTTAAATTGTTATTCTATGTTTATCTGGATTTCTATAAATGCATATGTGTATATCACCTTGGTTATTTGTAATTTTTAAATAATGTAAATTAATATGTTTTCCAATAAAAATTCGAAATTTCTAAATTTGACGCTACGAAGTAATTACGTATTGCTACCTGATCCAAAAAAATTAAACAAACATTATACATTAACATAAAATAACAATAACATGAGATTTAAAAAATATATTCATTATTATATTTTTTAATTTGGAAATTTGCGTATAAAAGTCGAATACGAATTACACAATTGTATCAATCAGTTTAACAGCACGGTAGCACTGAAAATCACAAGAAAAATGGTTAGTAAATATTACATATATTTTTTTTTTTCATTAAACAATTTTTATCGACTTTTTTACAGAAAATTCTCATTGTTGCTCTTGCCATTTTGATGTCCTCAACTCACGCCCGTTTCTTATATCCGGCTGCATCTGTGCCAGTTGTTCGTTATGCTGTTCCATCTGCGGTTCCAGTAGCTCCTGCCGTGGTTACTGCACCTGTTACCAAAACATATGTCCAAGCTGCAACAATACCAGTTGTCCAATATGTCCGCCCGCTGACACCTGTAACCACTACATATGTACGCCCAGCTACATATTATACCCGTACCGATTATTTGCGTCACAAATAAAAGTTTATATGTGTTTTAGAATATGGAACTTGGATTTGAAATAAATGCTTGACTTGCACAACAATTTTCTAAAATTTGTTTTTAAAATAATATATTTCTATGGATCGAGAGAACTTGTAGAATTAAATAATATTTAGAAACGATTTCTATTTCTATTGGTTTTAGACCCCATGCCTCTTTGAGCACTTTGCCTCAAAAATATTCATCATCGAAATATTTGTTTTAGGTCCCATGTATCTTCGAAACAACCCTGTTTCAGAAAAAATGGAGTCGTTTTACAACAGTCCGTCCGTTTAACTTGGCTGGCTGGTGCGCACGATAGCTCTTGAACGAACTTTGCACATCATAATATTTCTCCCAGACTTAGTTCAAATTCAAAGTTGGGGGATATCGGTCCACTTCTGGTATGTCCCCCCACAAAATGATAAAAAAATGTGCTAAAAATTAAGTTTAAACCAGTAAGGAAAGTAGTAAAGTAGGACGGGGCCGATTATATGATACCCTTCACCACTTTGGGTATATTCAACAGATGAATCCTAACAGACGTCGCATTTTTAAAGGAATACCAAAATTAATTTGGATCCATAAACAATTTTCTAAAATTTGTTTTTAAAAGAATATATTTCTATGGATCGATCGAACTTGTAGAATTAAATAATATTTAAAAACGATTTCTGAGAAATTGAATATATATTCATACCCTCAACTATATGGCTAATGAGGGTATATACACTTTGATATAAAAAAAGGTGCCCCATCGAAATATTGGTTTTAGACCCCATGTCTCTTTAAGCACTTTGCCCCAAAAACATTCCTCATCGAAATATTTGTTTTAGTTCCCATGTCTCTTTTAAACAAACCTGTTTCAGAAAAAATGGAGTCGTTTTACAACTGTCCGTCCGTCTACCTGGCTGGCTGGTGCGCACGAACGAACTTTGCACATCATAATATTTCTCCCAGACTTAGTTCAAATTCAAAGTTGGGGGATATCGGTCCACTTCTGGTACCTCCCCCCTCAAAATGGTAGAAATTGTGCTAAAAATTAAGTTTATACCAGTAAGGAAAGTAGTAAAGTCGGACAGATGAATCCTAACAGACGTCGCATTTTTAAAGGACTACCAAAATGAAATTGGATCCATAAACATGTCATTCTGCAACCTATACTATTATTTTCATTTGGTCAGATATAGAAGCTATATCTAAATCTGAACCGATTTCAACGATTTCAGGAAATTTAACACACATCATACTAGACATTTACATTAAACCGGACGAAAATATATAAGGGAGCTATATCTAAATCTGAACCGATTTTCAGGAAATTTAGCACACATCATTCTATACTTCATTCATTACGCTATGCCAAATTTTATGCAAATCGCAAGATATATAGGGACTTTGGTGCACCATTTCCATAAAATCGGACGAAACTATATATGGGAGCTATATCTATATCTGAACCGACTTTCATGAAACTCAGCACATATCATTCTAGGCCTAATTCATTACGCTGAACCAAATTTCGTCCAAATCGAAAGATATATAGGGACTTTGGTGCACCATTTACATTAAATCGGACCAAAAAATATATGTGAGCTATATCTAAATCTAAACCGATTTTTCCCAATTTCAATAGGGTTCGTCCTTGGGCCAAATAAGTGACTTATGCGAAATTTCATCCAAATCGGATCATAAATGCGACCTGTACTTTGTTCACAAAAATACATGGACGGACGGACAGACGGACATGCGTAAATCGACTCAGAAAGTGATTCTATGCATATTCTCAAAAGGAACCATGTGTCTATCTCGTTTCCTTTTGCCTGTTACAAACATATGCACAAAGGCATAATACCCTGTACCACAGTGTGGTGAAGGGTATAAATATCAATCGAAAGGATTATTCAACTTTTGCACAACATATTATCTTTACCAAAACTAGATCAAGTCTGAAGATGGGACCCATTGGTCCACTCCTTCTGGTACCGATTTGAACCAAACTTTGAACAACCTATTAGCTTTACAAAGTATATATCTAGTCCGAAGATGGGGCCTATTGGTCACTCCTACTGACACCTCTCCCACAGAGGGTCAATATTTTATAGACTTGTAAATTTAATTCGAAGCTAATTGTATAACAGATTTGATCAACATAAAATCGAAGACCTCTAAGTGCAGAATTCCCCAAATTCAGTGTCACTCCCAATAAGAACCTAAAATAAAAATTAAAGCCAATTTGTTTGGAAAATATGCAAACAATTCCTTAAGCATAGAATATTATCGGCACCGCTATATGGGAACTATATCCAAATTAAATTACACATTTAATATACACTCTCTATTATGGGGATGGTATGATGAAATTTTTATTCAAACTTGCATTTGCTCCGGCTCGGATTGGACGATCATCGGGACGGCCCCGTTCGAGTATATCGCTCCTTAATATGGGAACTATTACAAACTTGGACATATTACAAATTATTATTCTCGGTAAAACGAAATTGCGGACAGAAAAATTAAAAGTTAGATAACTTGGCTTGGTATTTCAATGGGTTCAGTTGAAAATTGCGCCAAGGACCATAAAAATACGTAAAATATGGTGACACCTTTATATAGAGGTTATGGTGATGGCAAAATATGAACTTATATGAACCATGTTAGAATCTGTAGTGCCTAATTATAGCCCGTTCGGTCCGAAACCAAAAAATGGCGAAAATGGGATAGGAACATTTACTTAGGGCTTATTTCAAAACTTGTTTGTTGAACCAGAAATGTTAATCTACAGATACCATGGTGTGAATAATGCGGCTAAAACCTTCAAAATATCGATAATAGGCGAAACCTTTACATGAAGCTAAGCTAAATTATGGATTAACAACAAAAACTATAAATCTCCTTCACCCTAGAAGATTTCGAAATGCCAAATTACAGACATTTCGGCGTGTGTCTACATCGGTTCAGATTCGGTTTTCCAAAAAATATTTCAGGTTGTAAACGGAATGAAATATTTTATATACATTCCACCTTTGGGAGAAAGCATCCGATCTGTATGTTTATATAAATTAAAAAAATGAAATTTGTAGTAATAGAGTTCAAAATTTATTTAAATTTTCAGTAAATATACTGGTATCTCATCGAATTCAATCAATTATTTATGACGCAAATAATCGGTACGTGTATAATAAGTAGCTGGACGTACATATGTGGTGGTCACCGGTGTCAGTGGGCGGACATATTGGACAACTGGAACCGTAGCAGCTTGAACATATGTTTTGGTAACTGGTGCAGAAACCACGGCAGGAGCTACTGGATATGCAGCTGGAACCGAATACTGAACAACTGGTACAGATGCAGCCGGATATAAGAAGCGACCATGAGCTGAGGAAACCAAAACGGCAACAGCGACAATAAGGAGTTTCTGTAAATAAGGAGTTTCTGTTAATGTAAAACTCTATATTTTGGATTTTTTTTACTAACCATTTTGTTGTAATTTTTAAGGCGACTTAATTGTTTGAGTAACTGATACATTTTGTGTAATTTCGATACGACTTTTATATGAAAATCATTTAACAATTTAATATCGAACGAATTGTGGACCTTGTTTTAATTCGTCATAAATTATTGGATTTTGTGCGATTTTTAATTAAATATTATATTTTAATGTACACATAATCATCAATTTTTTAATTTTTAATTTATACGTTCATCAATTTTGAAATATTTTGTTATTTATTTAATATTATAAATGTTGGAAGTAATAATGTTTATTGAATTTAGATTGGCATTGGAAATATGCGGTTTGTTGCTGAGGTGTACTCGTATGTCAGCGGTAAAATACGAATATAAATTTTCTACAATTAATTTTAGCTCATTAGACTTATGTACGTATATCTGCCTTTTTTGTACTGTCAGGATTTGTTCGAGTGTGTAGAGCAGGGTACATTTATGGCGTACCCTAGACTTGGAGAAAATTAACGATATCTCCAATTGAATCCTTTACATACCTCCTCCACAAATTGTCCACATTTCGATTTTTCTCAACTTTCATTATATTTACATTACATTGCCATAATGGATCCATAAATTCCATATTATACGATTAACTTCTCAATACTAGTATGAGTCAAATTAGTCCACCAATTTAAAATGGGTATACAACATTCAAGAATGCTAGATGAATGGATTTTTAGGGAAATGGAATAGCCCTAATGTGCCGTAAAGTCCTATTTCTCTATTTAGAAAATTGCATCCAACTTTTCCGCTTTCTTGGAGAGAGAAAAAATGTCTTCCCAGAAATTTGCCAATACAATTCAATGTTTGGACATAGTCCCCAAAGTATGAAAATCGTGCACCAGTTTATGCATCTTGAAACTCCTAGAATTATTTTCCTATCAAACTGCAATTAGGTATTTCGATTTCATAACCCCCTTTGAAGGGGTGAATCTAAATAGATCGGTCCAAACTTAGCGGGTCAAATGGACCCTGACTTTTGTATGAAAAATGACAAAATTTGCATTCTATGGCGTATATATTTACCCCTGAAGGACATAGACTTTGGACCCACTGTCGGAAAATTCAGCCTCCATGAAGAAACATCAGACAATGGCATGATGTTGATTGACTTCGCGGCAGCAATACAAATGGAAGTTAGAAGCACCCGATTCAAGCATTTCGATATACACAAGACAGCTTGGATTTCTCCCGATCGAACAACGAGAAATTAAATCGATCATGTTGTGATAGACACAACAGTTAGCAGAAGCCTACTCCGCTCAACTTACCCAACTGCTCTCCTTGTCCCGATAATAATATAGAAGCACAATGATAGAGAATTGCCCACTCCCTACAAACTGCAGCAAAAGCAATACTTGGGTACCAAAGACCACCATCAAGAAATCCGTGGTACGATCAGGAATGTCGTAACGCAGCATATAGGGCAACCCTGTAGACAATAGCAACACGTAATGGAGAAAAGTAGAGAGGAGAAACGTATTTTCAGAAAAAAGAAGAAAGAACAAGAAAAACGTGAGCGGGAGCAAACCGAGATGTACAGGATTCCGAATGAAGTCCGGAAATTTTACCAACGAGTAAAACACCAAACCGAAGGCTTTGGTAGAGATGAAGAAGGAAACCTGTTGACAGATACAGGCAGCCTACGCTGATGACATCGACATAATGGGTCGAACATTAAGAGCGGTAACAGCCAACTTTGAACAAATTGAGAAGGAGTCTGCCAAACTGGGTCTGGCAGTAAACGGCGAGAAGACCCAGCTGATGGTATCAACGCGCAAGACGTCCAGTAGGCCCGGACCAACTGTAGAACTTAAAAAATACAGCTTCGAGATAGTCAACGATTTTATATACCTTGGTACCGCCATAAATAAAACTAATGACATCAGTTTTGAAATTCGGAGAAGGATAGTGTTGGCCAAAAGATGCTACTATGGTCTGAGTAAGCAACTCAAAAGCAAGGTCACCTCCCGCCAGACCAAACTCACACTCTACAAGACGCTGATACTACCCGTACTGTTATATGGATCTGAAGCATGGGTACTTATGCAAGCAGATGAGGCAGCTCTTGGAGTGTTTAAAAGAAAAAATTTCCGAAAGATCTATGGGCCGATCTGCGTTGACGGTGAATATCGCCGTCGAATGAACCATGAGTTGTACCAGCTATTCTCGGCCATTTGCATTGTTAGACGTATTGAGCTGCAGCGGCTACGTTGGCTAGGTCATGTTGTGAGAATGGATGAAGATGCCCAGCCCAAAAGGCATATAAAAGCGAACCAGCGTTAAGTTCGGACGGGCCTCCACCATAGATATACTGACAGGTACTTGAAAAAAATATATAGGGAACATACCAAAAAGTGTACCTATACCCACATTTCTACAAACCGATTATGGTTCTAAACATTTGCCCATCTTATTATTTCTTCCAAAATAGTTCAAGTTCGAAAATGGGGAATATCGGTTCACCCTTTCTGGTACCTCCCACACAGGGGCTAGGCCTAAAAGCGGGTTACAGTTCATATATATGAATATATATATATATATATATATTATCGAACCTTATGTTCTAGTTTTTTTTTCGCATCTTCCGCAGATGAAATGATTACAACTGAGTCTTAGAAACAAACCCAAACACTGCACAAATCATACAACTATGTTAATATAAAAAAGGGGGTTATATGGGGACGACCTCAAAAAGAGGGCGAATATTAAAAATTTTTGGTAGGGAGATTTGTTACCATATACCACTACAAAATACCAAATTGCAGCGAATTCGGTTGAAAAACGCGCTCACGAACCCCAAAATACAGAAAATTGGGGGTACGCTTATATGGGGGCTATCCTAAAAAAATGGACCTATATATAAAATTTTTTGTAGAGAGATTTGATACCTGTTAAGAACTAAATTACTAAATTACAGCCAATTCGGTGGAAAAATACGATCAAAACCCCCAAAATACTGAAAATTAGGAGGTACCGTTATATGGGGGCTACCAGAAAAAGTGGACCTATATTCATAATTTTTTGTGGAGACATTAAGTACCCAATAAGAACTCAATGTACCAAATTTCAGCGTTTTCGGTTGAAAAACGGGCTCAAGAACCCCAAAATACCGAAAATTGGTAGGTAATGTTATATGGGAGCTATGCCTAAACGTGGACCGACATATCCCATCTTCGAACTTGACCTGCCTGCGGACAAAAGACAAACCTATGCAAAATTTCAGCACCCGATCTCAATTCCTTCAGAAGATAGCGCGATTACAACTGACGGACGGACGTGGCTAGATCGTCTTAGAATTTTACCCTGATCAAGAATATATATATAGGGTCGGAAATGAATATTTCGATGAGTTACAAACGGATTGACAAAATTAATATACCCTCCATACTATGGTGGAGGGTATAAAAACAGCGCAAAAGACCGACGCTCCGTGAAATAAAGCCAGCTAAGTAAGTACTCGAATGTGGGAGTTGTACTTAAATATTTAAACGTGCTTACGTATAATATTTAGTAACCCATTACCACATTAGAGGGCGAAAATATAGCGCTAATCGCTATGGTGATCAGATGATAATATTGGGATGAAGTGGACCGAAAATTTAATTTTTTGTGTTTTTTTCCGAGTAGATCATAACATCAGAAGGTCTGTAGTGAATATTAGTAATATTTGTTGACCTCAAGGCGGTCAAGAGGGTGCAAACATCGAAAAATATTGTCCATGCTCAGAATATAGATCATAAGAAAGTTATATTATATTTTCGTGAAAGTTGTGTAGGGTATCATATGGTCGTCCCCATCCGACTATATCACTCCGCTCACTGGTTTTATAATAAATTAAAAAAATATTCTTATAATATATATATATATATATATATATATCCAGATCTTAAATATTCCGTCTGTAAAAAGCCTATATAAGGCCAGATTATACAGGCAATTTTACGTTTATTTTAAAAATTAATTCGACTGAAAATAATATAAAATAAAAGAGAATATTAAGAAAAACGACTGCAAACTTAGGATAAATAAATACTATTTTATTAGAGATGCAATATAATATATTTGTAGTATACATTTTATTTGCCGGGAGTGCAAATGAATTGGTAACTCGTGTCAATGTGCGAACATATTGGATCAATGATATTGGTGCAGCTTAAACATATGGTTTGGTAACAGGTGCAGTAGCTACAACGGTAGCTGGAACAGAATAACGAACAACTGGCACTCATACAGAGGGAAAAATTACAGCATCCTAAGGAATGGAGCCAAAAACAGGAACAGCTAAAAATAAGTTTCTGAAAAAAAATTATTTAATTACTACTTACTAT